CTGGAACTATATATATAGTTACTGTTACTATTATTATAGCAGTAATAATCATAATTATAGTAATATATAATTATAGTTACAAATACCAAACACTTTTCTTTCAGTGTACCATACATCGATGTTGTCTATTCAGAATCTGATGCACGGAACTGAAATAATCCAAATGGTTTATACAATTTTCTTATTATATGCAATAATTTTAAAGCTGTTAATTTATTGGAGACAATAGTTGCGCAGATTTATTATAGCAAATTGTATTTATTACTTTTATGATAATGCATTTATTACCTCGAGATTTATATAAAAATGTATGTAATAATAAAACTGTCGTAAAATCTGGTTCTATTAAAAAAAAGTTCTACTAAAAAAAATTCTATTAAAACTTAAAATAAATTTAACATAATAGAATCTTGTTATCTCAAATTATCCGTGCAACGTTTATCGAGAACAAAATCAATTCTTTTCTCTTGAAAATGTATTATACTCTTATTATTCTGTATTTGTTATCGCGAAATTTTATCATGTTTAGGAATGTTAAAGTGTTTCGATTACGAAGATTTTATCCGACACGATACGAAGCAGGAAAGCTCGTTCAGAAAAGTTCCGTCGATCTGCGAACGGCCGCGTGCCGCTTGCGTCATTCGCGCTGAAGACTATTCACTGCCATTCCATCTTGAATTATTCTTTCGCAATTTAATCAACCGGTTATAAAAGAACTTGGCTTGACCTTACAACTTTATTTTTGCATCTCCACGATTCTCACTGGTTCTCCTTCGTTTTTCCTCGGGCGCTCTAAATTAAATTTCCTTTACCGTCGATGCCCAAGTTTCGTGAGCGAGAGGAAGAGGGCAAAGGACAGCCAAGATCATAGCTAAGAGGAGAGGATCCGGAAAAAGGGCGAGAAAGGACGGTGAGAGGAAAGGGGCGGAAAACGGAAGGTAGTAAAAGGAAGAATGATATAGAAGTCGGAGGGGGTGAGGAGAGGGGAGGGGAGAGGAAAGCAAAAATAGAATGTACATAAAAAATACACGGCTGCAAGCGGTAGCTGCTTCTTGCTCGTAGCCTCAGCTCGCCGGCATGAAAAATTCACTAGTTGCCCCGGCTCCTATTGCAATCTTCGTTCGTGGAATTCTCGCGAAATTTAGCCACCTGCAACAGGACAGAGGGCGGACGACCCTCTTCGATGTATACAAGCCCTTTCTTTCTTCCGCCGTGTTTCATCTCAAGAAGACGTCCCTCTCCGAGTGCTGCGAGTAGTATCAGAGACACAGAGTCTCTGGTATGGCCTTTTTCCTCCCTCTCTCCCTCTGCCTGGAATGATTTTATTAAATTTGCTCTTATCATTCTGCTCGGCGGTAGCGTATTGGCCGAGACGACAGCGCTGTTGCTTGGTAACAGAGCGGGATACGCGGCATTGTTCCTTTTATCATAGAAATGTACGACAACGGTATCGAGTCAAACACTATATACTAGATCAAATCAAGCTTTGTATCAGATCGAACCATTATATCGCATTTCACTGAAAGCACTTTTATATTTTTACTAATAATCTATAATTCTAAAATAATAAAGAGCATTGAAATAATTATTTATGCATGTGAAAAAGAACAGAGAGAGAGAAAGAGAGAGAGAGAGAGAGAGAGAGAGAAAGAGAGAGAGAATGTGTGTGTGTGTTTATGCTAGAATTTGAAGTCGATATACAATAATTTTGGTTTATTTTAAATAGGATGTTATTAAGAAAATGAATAAAATATATTTTGTTAGCAGAATTAAATCTAAGTTGGTTTAAGAAAAGCTAGTAGAGAGAGAAAATAATAAAATTATTTAAACTTACGCGCGCGTAACCAAGAGTTGTTTAAAATTAATTAACTGTGTTATAGAAAAAAAGTAATCTTTTATTTCTGTATTTTTATTTAATTAATGGTTTATTTTTCTGTTACAGTGCCCGATCGTTACCGTTTGTTTGGTTATTTACGTTGTCATCCGCGTCTAAGCCTTATCGTCCTTCAATCAAAGTGAGTGCACGCATCGAATTCGTAATTCTTCTCGTCGCGATTTCTTCGTTCGCGTTTGAATTCGGGATCGCGATCGCGTGTGTAGTGTATCCAGTGCATCGGACTGCGCAGCGAGGCACATAACTACTGGATTCGGACCGAGGCTTCTTCGTTCTCTTCGCTGTCCCGCAACGCTAGGTAAGCATCACGGAAATGAGCTCAAGAGCTAGAATATATCTTGCGCGGGCAATGCGCGTGAAACGACTCGCGGCGTTTCGCAGAAGAAGGGGAGGGCGAAGAGGGTGACGCCGACGCGGCGACGGATAGTTTGCAAAAACTTGGTTAAGTCGCTTACAAAGAGGCAAAGTGACTGAGTCGGAGTAAAGCGAAACGCCGCACTAACTTCGGAGCACTTCGTTATAAAGTTGGGAGTTGAATAATGTATTTTTATTATTTACCCGAAGCATGCCGCGGTGCCGTGGTGATATATCGGATAAAGTCGCTTGTAATTTCCGGCGAACGTTAACTTCCCGCCGAAAGAAATCACACCGGATCACGCCACAACTTTCTTCAAGGCGGGGGGATATTTATACGCCTGTACGCGAAGAATTCGTGCCACATGCAGAACGTGTTTATTTGCAAAGTTTTACCCTCTTGTTTTCATTAAGATTTTAACAATTTATAGAAATTAAATTAAATTAATACCTGCATTGTGAAAATAGAGATAAATTCAAGTCAAAATTTAAGAGTTTATATACATTTAATACATTAATACACAATTTCGTTTAGACCTTTTTTCTAAGAAAAGTAATTTTAATGCTTTTTATATATTCTACTCAAGCGTTTAGCAAATTTATTTTTTAACAAATAAGTAAATAGTCAAATATAAAATTAAGTTAGTTATTTAATAAAACTTGAAAAATATCGAACTATGAAAATGTTTAATGATCTTTTTGCCGTTATTATTAAACAATGGAAATGAAATTTAAAATTATTATTGAGTATAGAATGAAAGAGACTTTTAAAATCGTTTTTATCATAAACCACACGTGGTTTCTTCTTTTTTATTATTTAAAGCCAATAACTAATATCGATTAGTACTAATTATAATATGTAATGCAGACAGTGATGAGTTTATTCTAGAAATCGCTTTTGCATATTGAAGTAGTTTTTGATTGCTGCTAATTTAATTATTTGCATGTTTTATTATAAATAGATAAAAAATAAATCTGTGTCGCAGTTTATAAGATATTTTCTATTTTTACTTATAATTCTATGATTCAAATTTCAATAATAAAATACAATAAATTTTCCAATATTGGTTGGAATAAACTTTCATAAATGTTATAAATGCAGTAAAAATATAATTTATATATGGTCTATAGAACTAAATACAATAAAAAAGTTAAAATTCTTATAATTTCTTGTAAATATATATGTATAAATACTCTCTAAATTTTTATAATAAACATTTTTATCTATTTCCGCGATTTAAATTGAAATTCTGAAAGTGTACCTACTACACAAGTAGTTATAGAAATAAACAATTTAAACTTTTCCAATTTAAATATTAATTGAAGTAGATATAAAATAGAATATCTCATATTTTATTTATTTTGCTTATCTTTATTTAAATTGTTCAAACTGTCGAATCTCTAAGTGATTTTGAAAGCTTCCTTTGTAAATGTATGATGTGATAATTAATTTACGTATCTTGATGTAAAGGTACGTTTTGCCATGCTAACACAAAACACGCATGAAAGATCGAGCTCAAACGGCGTTCTATCATTAAGTAGTCGAAGCGGAGAAAACGCCGTCCGCGCTCGATAATGCATCATCGCGTTGCACTATTTCACGGGAAAATGCGCCGGCACGTTTGTCGACGAGCGATTAGCTCGCTCGTGCGACGTACACGCAAGGCGTAAATCTTGAGGCGCGACGCAGATTTAAGAGGCCCAAGAGAGTTTGCCAAGTGCGTTACAGAAGAACGAGGCCGAATTACGGTCTCTAATTTATACAATAGCCGAGTCAAACTAGGGAGTAATTTTTTACTAGTAATCCGTAATTGATGCCGGTCCTGTCCTCACATTTTTGTCCTTCGTTCTCTAACGACTTTAGTTAGTAATTTACCTAGGTCTAGAATGGTCAACGTGGTCGCCAAGTTAATTTGCTTCGCTTCGTTGCATTTGCGGTTGGAAGTAATGAAAGAGAGAGAGAGAGAGGAGGGGGAGGGAGGGGAGGAGAGAGAGAAGAAAATTCCTTGTGTAAACGTTCAATGCAACTTTCGCGCACCTGCGAGTATGATGTAAAAGCATTGCGTTCTGAAATTATTACTAAATTAAGAAGAAAACTAATACATTGTTATTGACACTGTAAAATGTTATTAATAATTAATTGATTTATTGAGTAAACAAACACCGTGTTAAACATTAGATTTAGTATTTTGAATTCATTGACTTTAAAATCTTATTTAATCAATGATCATATTATATAAATTAAATACAGCTAATTGATACGAATCGTGTTTCAAAATACTACACATATAATTGACGAAAGATAGACCGTGCGAGCAATAATGCACGTGCATTGGAAGTACATGTGACTTTAGAAATATTCAGCCTTTGAGCGACACAACACTTTTTTTTCTCGAGCCTTTCGCTCTTTCGCAGCACACTCACGCACACATTCGTTCCTATATACACGTATGCATCTATAGCAAACGAAATGGAATTTTAAAAATTGAATCGCCGAGACTTGCGCTTTACGCTACCAGCGTATTACAAAAGCGCGAGGGCAATTTCATTCATACGTAATAAGATGGGCGCATCTGGCGCCACGCACGTAACGGATGCCTTGTCATCGCTTTTCGGAAAAGCCGAGCTGTTTTCGATATTAAGGCACTTCGCGTTATTTATAAACTATTCCCATCGCCGTCTCACCCTTTTTGTCGTACTCTTTCTGTCGCCCCCTCTTTCTCACTTTTCCTCTCTTTCTCTCTCGTCCTATTCAGGTTGAGAACAAGCGTATTAGATATTCCGTTATAAAGAGGCGACGTAATACTGTATGGCCACTACACGAGGCACGGATGGGCAAAACAGCACGGAGGACCATGGTGAGGGAAACAGGGGGGGGGGGGGGGGGGGGGGGGGGGAAGGTCTGCAACGAAAATTAGCATTTTTTCCATGCGACCGACCTGCGTAGCTAATATCGCGGATGTAAAGAGGCAAGCGAGTGGTGGCTGGAGGGGATCTGCAGCAAGAAGGGAAGGGGATGGCCTGAAAAAAGCAGGCGTATTTACTGCGGAAAGATTAACGTGTAACGAGCTACCGTGAACAAGCTGACGTTAAAGCTTTTTACATAAACGCATGCTCAGTTTTTGATCGTGCTCACGCTTCGCCAGTGTCCATAGACACGGCTCTGTGATCGTTTCATTGTGCCTCCTACGATAGTACACGCGATTGTAGAAAGAGAGGAAAAAGGTTATATCGATTTTCGTCGGAAACTACGTGGCACATTGGTCGAACGCTCGCGTGTTTGCATCTCGCAATTTTGAAATTGCAAACGCGTCTCTATGTAAAAGCAAGGAAATATAATTAGCTCGCATGTTACTTAGAACTGCAAGAACGACATCTATATAAAAGACCTGTTACGATAAAGCCGAATAAATGTAATTGTTTCTGGAAGTGAATTCTATTTATTTTGTTTTTTATTAAAGTTTTATTTGTTTTATATAAATAATTGAGACAATTTCAATGATATTAAGAACGTGCACATATCTTTTTTATATATGTACTTCACATACTTTTAAATCATACCTTATTTCAGTTGCTACAAGCTTTGTAATCTAATAAATTATTTGCATAAAAACATCGACAAACTTTCGATATATTTTTCAATTTCCGCACTACAAGATAGCTCGTCGCCTGGAAAAGCATATATGGATCTGTAGGTTACACTTCTTTTCTTTTATCTTTAGAAATCTCCGAGCTTTCAGGAACTTCAACGTTTCGTGCTATATTTGAAACCATCTCTCTCAAGTATAATACAAGATGTGTATATAGATCGTACGCGTATACACAATTTTATAATATATTTTTTGTATTTATTACCAGAACTTATAAATATTGAGCTTAGATTTGCAATTAAATTTCCAGGTTGCTTATTATATACATAGTAAAAAACAATATTTTATCTGAAAATGCAAATACAATATACATTTTTTGTCACTTATAACATTCTTTTGAAAAAGGACAATTATATTATAGTGCTAAAATTATAAGTTAAAATTATACTACGAGAATCGACACATTCAGTTTTATAAATTATTTTCTGAAAATTAATAAAAATTTATTTTACTAATTTTTAATATGAAACTGTAGGCATGTATCGGTCCCCGTGATAGCAGAATTTTAGCTCACATATCTCGTATGAAATTAATCAACCGAATAATCGTGCATTTGTATACCATTTTACATCAGTCATCGGTCAATTATTGTACAGCAATGAACATGTGTTCCTTAAACGAACAACTGATACTAGTTTATTGCTAGTAATCAGCAGAATCGGAAGTAGTCTGACATGTGCTCAAAATCATGTCGGCGGATTCGCGGGTTATTTGTCAAATTAACGTAATTTACTCTTTAACGCTTGAAATTCAATAGGTTTCATCGATATCTCGCGATGACGGTGAAATATTAACGTAGCGGCAGGACGATGTATCATGCTCATTTCGCGAAAACCATCTCATACGCCGAAATGGCGTGTCGAGTGACGAATTGCAAAACTAGATAAACGCTTCGCGCGACATCGAACGCATGTGTTCCCTCGTGAATACGCGGCCGCAACATTTACTATCGGCTAGCATTTAATAATTGATTAATCGGATGATTACGAGACGGATCGAATGATAATGCTGCATTATTTAGGGTAATCAACCTACATTATTGAGTGTCTGGCGAAATACGGTTAACGCCATGCATGTTTCAAAGGTGCGATGTAAATTCAGTTGGCATAAAATACGATTACACCTCTCCTATATGTTAACAGTGTGCTGATTAAGATTTACATTTACACCTGTTATAACTTTTATTCTTGAATAGGATAATATAGTAATATTTTAGTATCGCTTACGACTATAATCGTGTACTTATGATAAAATATTTCGGACACATACCTAAAAAGTTCAAAATTGTTAATGG